AAGCTGTAATACTTTTTTCTTTCTTTCAGCCTATAGTTTTGAATCCAAGATTTACCCTGTCAGATGGATTTAATGTTTGACCTCAACGGTAGACTGTTTAATTTAACTTCTATGCAGAGAGAATCAATATGCATTTCAATAACAGGCTGTGAAGAGAAGTCTGAAAAATTACTCTGGAAATCTGTTCTGTTGGCCACCATAAACAATTATCTAATGATTATGTATGCAATTCATTATATACAATGTCCAGTCAGGAAAATCTAAGCAATGTTATATTGATGATCACGGATTAATAATTTGTAAAAAGGAAGACTATAGGTCTAGTAAAAGGGATATGTGTCATTCATACAAAGTATTGTAGATTCATATTCCTTGAGGAAAGATAAGATTTTAATATTGGATGTAGTTACAACTTGTTACTTTAGAAATTAAAAAAATTCAGAATTACAATTTTTTTTTGTGAATTATGATGAGAGGCATTGGCTCTTGAGAGTAAAAATTTGCTTATAAGCTGCCAATTTTTTGGTATTTGAATTTTATATATAATACTGCATTGTACATTTGGACAAAAAACTAAGTATTATAAATATTTAATCCTACATGTCATTGTTAATTTAAAACAGCGTTCTCCATGTTCATTAAATATAAGAAATTATGGTTTTCTTCAATGGAATAATCATCTCTTATCGTCATCATTAAGGCTATTTCAACAACTTTTCTGACTCTCAGTATGTACCATTGACTAATTTCTGTAACATGTTTAAAATTAAATCCTCAATGTTTGATGCTTAATTTAAGGAACCATTGGGGGGAAAAGGTGTTTCAACTATATGAAAACAATTACTTAATTTCAACAAATATTGTTGGGCCTAATAACTTTGGTTATAATTTCTATTTTTAAAAAAAATTATTGTATATATAGTGAAATTATATTTATTCCACGAACGACTGTACTCCTAGAAATTATGTGTAAGGGTTTCAAATATATTTTATTAACCTTCTTTATAATATTTTTACTTTCATTTTTTGACATTCATGTGTATATATATGTTACTATGCACATATGATTATGACTATAACGTTAATTATTTAATTTCATCAAATAATTTTTGGTCAAATTCCTTTAGTTATAATTTTTACTGTAAAAAAATTATATTTAACTAAAAACTAATGAATATAGTGAAATTATTTTTATTCCACGTTAGACTGTATTCATAGAAATTATGTGTGTAAGGGTTTCAAATATATTTGTAGAAACCTTCTTTATAACATTTTTCCTTTAATTATTTGACATTCACCTGTATGATACTATGCACATATAATTGTGACTTTAAAGTTAATAAATTTGAATCAAAGGTCTAGATAAATTGATTGTTTGTCATTTTATAATTATAGTTAAAGTATCTACGAACATGTATATATATACATATCTATTTTAAATAAATTAAGGCAAAGCAACCACCTTGTTATTGAATATACATATATATACACATATATATATATGATATTGAAGGAAGTTAGCCGTTAACACTGTTGAATAAATATAATATAAATCAAAGGTACATATACAGTGTTTAATAAGGACATGATGGAACATCGTAGGCTACCCTGTAGCTTTTCAACAAATACAGTCCTATGAAAAGTCATTGTGTAATAAAATGCCTCCGACGTCATTCGAACCTGCGACCTCTTGCTGACAAGGCGAGCGTCATAACCACTATACCACGAAGGTTGAACAGGTCCAAATACCCGTCGGTAACATTGTATTACACAATGCTATGCCTCAAGAGGGCGTTCGGCCAGATAAATCTGGAAATACGGCTAGAAATACTGTCGTATATTATATATGATATTGAAGGGAGTTAGCCGTTAACACTGTTGAATAAATATAATATAAATCATCAAAGGTACATATACAGTGTTTAAATAAGGACATGATGGAACATCGTAGGCTACCCTGTGGCTTTTCAACGAATAAAGTCCTATAAAAGTCATTGTGTAATAAAATTTCTCCGACGGGATTCGAACCTGCGACCTCTCGCTGACAAGGCGAGCGTCATAACCACCAGATCACGAAGGCTTCATGGTTGAACAGGTCCAAATAACCGTCGGGAACATTGTATTACACAATGCTATGCCTCAAGAGGGCGTTCGGCCAGATAAATCTGGCAATACGGGTGGAAATACTGTCGTATATTATATATGGTATTGAAGGGAGTCAGCCGTTAACACTGTTGAATAAATATAATATAAATCATCAAAGGTACATATACAGTGTATAAATAAGTACATGATGGAACATCGTAGACTACCCTGTTATGATTATGGTTATGACGCTCGCCTTGTCACCGAGAGGTCGCAGGTTCGAATCCCGTCGGAGGCATTTTATTACACAATGACTTTTATAAGACTTTATTCGTTGAAAAGCCACAGGGTAGCTTACGATGTTCCATCATGTCCTTATTTAAACACTGTATATGTATCTTTGATGATTTATATTATATATATAATATATATATATATATATATATATGTATATATTATATGAATATATATAGGCCTATATATAATAACGAAAAGCGTAAATATATTGCCAATATTTATTTGAAATAATACCTTTCGAGCATAGCTCTTCATCAGGCAATGCCACGGATGTAAACAGTGAAAGTTATAAGTATAATACAAAAGACATAAGGTAAAAGCATGGGCGTGAATACTGTACCTACAAAACAAGTAACTGAATAATCAAACAATAGAACAATATAACCGCTAAAAAAAGGTTAACATAATGAAGCGGTATAATAAAGCTCCGATGCCGACGAACTAAACCAACTGAGAAGTATGGAATAAAATCATATATACCTATGAAAACATATTTTTTATTTATTTCCATAAACATCCCGAAGGAGAAGCAAACATTTAAAATACAATCGATCAGCGCCGCTTTTGAGAAAAAAGATAAAATGTTTAAAAAGGCAATCTATAAATGCTATCTAGATCGTTAATAAATAATAATGGAATAAAAAATACTAAAATCATCTGGAGATATATATGATAACATAATTACAGTTTGATTTAGTTCCCGGGAGAGGACCCTCTTCTTTTAGGGTTCATAAAAAGGAATACCGGTACATACGGCAACTATTTTTCTTCTGTGTGTACAGTATACCGGTACACACATAGGCTATAGCCTCTTTACTGTATAAAGAAAGAGAACGATTTACCTGAAAGTTTTCAAGAGGGAAAAACCTTGGATTATGAAGAACTTAAGTCCTTAAAAGACACTTCAGAAGTCGGGAAAGCTCATCTCGTCATCTAGGAATCAACATTTTTGCCGGGGTAGAACCCCCGACCTCCGTTCTCTTTGGGGTTTATCGATTCATGGAAAAAAAAAAAACTTTTTTGTTTTTACCTATATAATACACACATAGTCCTATAATAAGAAAGTATACTACATACTCCAAGTATTGAAATACACGCCATCGTGTTGGGATTCAATATTTCGACATTAATTATGTCATCATCAGGAATGAAAAAATTATCCATATTAGTAAGCTTATATGCACTAGTACCAAAAGTGTTTAACCAATCAAAACATACCTCTAGTAGGTGACATAGCAGTGATTTAAACAAAAGATCAAAGCATTCTTACTCTAATGATCAAAGATACCTACAAAAACAAAGAAAGCTCTTTTGAAGCTCTGAGCCCATTGTTAAGCAAAGGGTGTAGTCTAAGTATAGG